ACCTAAATGCGAAATAAGACAAAAAATCGTTAGCTTTAACTGAGATTCAACTGAGTCTGTCTTTAAGAAACTAAAAATCAGTGTATCCCGCGAGTTGCATACAGTTTGGGTTCAAGAATAACATGAGGTTGACAGAAAATCGGGGTCTTCGCCCACCTGATAAGCCCACAATACGGCAGAACCAACCCTGGGCTGTTGCCTAGTTTTTAGTTACCACATCGGTAGTGTTCTTTCAAGAAGACGTACTGCGATATCTCGAATATCCTACCAGCTGAAACATGAAGTGATTCTTGTGCAGCACATTCATTCGGATAATAGGATAAGCGGGTAATTCACTTGGGATTCAGTTGAGTTTGTCGTCAGTACCAAATTAGCGTGTGAATGAGTGTTTTGCCAAAATTGACGGGAATTCGAGGGCAAGACTAACGTGATAAGCCAAAGTCGTGGGCCCTCATTCATCTTATGAGTAATCTTGTTTAATGAAGAATATTTCTGTTCATTGGATATCGTCCCAATTGAAACCTGAGGTTGGGTTTTGAAGTGCATTCCGTAGAAGAGCGTTATTGGGGAGAGGTCTGGCTAAAATTCAGTAGAGCCCCTTGCCAACATTATAGTTATGTTAACAGTGGACCTGCTGCTCCAGTTTGGCTGAAATGCCGCGTAACCTCATGTACCAACTTGGGGCAGTTTACCTATTGTTTTTCATTGTCTTTAAACCTTCGTTTTCGGAATAATTCATGCCAATGAACGTTTGTTTACTGGTTCCACTCGCAGCTGTGTATCAATCGGTTTTCATCACGCCTGTCAATTTGTTTTGTCTCTACTGACTCATTTTTCTTCACATTTTCATTTGACAGTAGTCATTAGTCATCATCCAGGTGTTTTCCTACCTATATTTCCTTTGGGTGACCAAACATGGCCAGTCTAAGTATCACGCCAATTTTGTCCAATTTTTCTGAAAACTTATCTGTGCCGCCAGTCGTGGCTTGGGCGCCCGTCGTCACTATTGGAGTCTTGATTCTTAGATTTTATAGGACCGAAACGTAGCAGACCATTCAAGTAATCTCAGATACGTTGTTGACATACCATACTACTCGTAAGATTGTTAGAAACTCTTCGACAGTATACTTGGAGGCTACAGATTTCCAAATAACTTCACGTTCTATTTGAACATCGAATTTGTGAACAACTGGCGGTAAGACTGGACTGAATCGCAACCGAATCTCTTGTTTATGTCTTTCAACAGGATGTTCTGTAGAAACGCTGCCTCCTATTGCACTTGGCATTGTTGTATATTCCTACGAAGGAACACTACTCATTAGGTTGCTGAAGCACTTTCCTATCCCATGATCGGTTTCGCCTCTGTTGCAGCTCATCGGTCAAGTGATTTCTCCGAGTTCCCGTCAGCCCCTATGTTCCACTTGAAACTTAATTGTAGGTAGTTCGCTAACTGCACTCACCTGCACACCGATTTGCTTTGAACAGAAGGCTCAACTACTTCTCAACTGAATATCCCATGAATGATGTTCTTTCACTGGGTGTGCTGCACCAATGTTGCCTCACATATCAGCCATTTATATACTCAAGAGACCGCAGGCGCATATGTTTTGAAGCACATTTTATTTTTAAGACATCAACAGAATCGGAAATATCGATACCATCGAGAGTTGAATTGTTCCAATTACCTCAGGCGAGTCAAAAGCACCTGAAAGAGACCACTAACATCGTGTTTTCTGTGCTCTTACTTCTCTTTTATAAGGGCTAAATCAGGACTATCGAATCACAATTAAACAGTACTTGTTGAATGCTAGGTAAGATATTGCAAACTCCTTGACAAAATGACTAAAGACAACATACAAATCTGCTGTGCCATGCCTTCTAGTGGGCGAAAGTCCTCCGATAATGCAACATTATTCTGCCTCCAAGAATGCGCACACTTTTTTATTGTACCACCTAAATGATTGGTAACCACAACAAACCGGTAGTTGTTCGCATCCAACTGTCGATCTCGAGTGGACCGACTGATATGTACTCATTGGTCTATAAAATGGACGTAAGAAGTCAGATTCCTCAGGACTGTTGCGCTATGGTTTTCGTGTTTCCTTGATGTTAGAACATGTCCCCAATTTCTAAAAATTCTTATGTTTACCTTACAGAAATCCTACCGTCTATATGTCATGTTAAGCTGAACGTCTGATTGGTTTTCGTGCCAAAATATTAAACACCGAACGTACGAAACTCGTGCGTTCGAGGAGACAAGCGTGACTCTCAGGCTATGGGTCAGTTGCATGGCTCAGCCAAGTACCACCTTGGTACATTGTTTAACTTGGTAAAAACTGCATTCCGTGACCAATTCCCATGACAATGAGGGCTATTTAAACAGATATTCGTGTTCGAAAATAATATGCTAATTTATTGGATGATGTAAAATCGCCACTAGTTCCCAGTCGGTTTAGGGACATAGTCTTCGAATTCCTGCCAACATCATTTGGTGCATAAGCCCAAAAATCATTTGCGAGAAGGTGTTACCGGTAGACCCGAATTCATTTCTTATTTTTCAACCGAGTCTGCGGCGTCCGTGTCGCGTTAGTTTTCGATTAGCCTGGTATTTAAGATGCCCGGATATGCTATCAGAAAGGGAAGTGGAAACTCTTCGATGGTCTTTCTGCGGATTTTTAGTTACCTCCGGTTTCCAAAGCAACTAGTTCAGGTATTCTATTGAAGTTTGCATGCACCAAAACTGGTCATTCCATAATATCTTTTCGTTCGAAAGAGGCTCGAAACGAGCTTCATAGAGTTCGTATCCACCTAGGTAAGTCCGTCAACAGTTAATATGCACTTTTAAATATGACATCCCTCGACCTTACTCCTTACCAATAAATGCTTTTTCGCAATCATGGAATTTTGTCCAATGATATTAAACTCGACAGCGTAATTTTGGACTAACCCCGGTTAAGAATTTTTCTACAACCGTATGCAGTTTTGAAAGATATGGCACCTAAATTAAGTATCTTTCAAAGCAGTTTTTTGTAAACAAATTGAGAAAAAGGAGTAATAAATTGGCGTTAAAGATCGGTGTGAATAGCAGTTAAGAACTGAGTGCGTTCCAATGGACTTACTGAACTTCGCTCGGGTGATAACAGTCAACCGTCCTGTGCAGAATTTGCTGGAAATTTCCCGCACTACTCGCTTTCTTACTTTTCCACAAAGATCGGAAACCAAAGTTGGAAATCCATAATTTTGCTTGATATTAACTTGGTATATTAAATTAAATCTGGTTATTCAATTCTGGTACACAATTTTCAACTAAAACCCATGCTATTGGTGAGGGACACTGGCTATGACCGACGCTCAGTGATTCTGTTGACGATCCCAGTATTTATCCCAGTATTTATATCTGTGAGAATTCACTACACCGATGCAGAAATTTTTTCCAAATGTCTTTCTCAAAAAATGTAAGTAGAGTCCGATGAAATGAAGCCTGCCTTTTTTCAGCTCGAGTCATTTTTCTGTAGGGCGTAATCTCACACAAGATATATATTTCCTTTGGCCAGTTTTTTCTCCTATGAGGAAAGGGAAGGCACTCAAGAATGTTTGTCTAGTTCCGTGTACTTAATGTGATGACACTAGTGACGAGAAAGCCTCAGATATTATGCCTTGTGCATTCGCAGACACCACAAATTTAGCTTGAATCCAACATTCCCGGCTGGGAAAAGTCAACAGTATTGGTTTGGTTGAGCGAACCGCCGCAAGAGCCTTTGTCAGTACCGTTCCAGACTTGCAAATATTACTAACCGATTCGTTTTGATGGGTTGTCTGTTTGAAAAAAAATGGAATAAAGGTTTGGCGATGATCAAACAGTAAAGGGAACAACTCCGAGCACGTGGTTGTCTTTTTTACACTTGTTCGTAGTATATCCTGCCGGTTTCTTCATTGCCTGAAAGTGTGAACCGTTTTGTCAGGAACGTTGGTCGAATCATTTGAAATCGTGTAGGTAGTGCTCTACCTGATATAAATTGGGCCAACCAACTCGCCACAGGGAACCCGATAAAAATTTAAACAACGGACGTACAATAGCAAATCAATGAAACTCTTCAGAATTGCGGCAAATGGCACCTTTAGCAACTCATCCAGTAGGATTCTACTTATTTTTCTAATCATTTTTACTCTACTAATGGGAACTGATTCCTCGGAACTCGAAGCATAAATCATCCTTCATTCGGGGTGCTTGTCTAGATAATAAGGAAATCCACTGAATTCTTCCGTTGTACCCTCTTGATCGTTTTTTTCGTCTCAGTAGGTTGCTCCTCAAAGCCGACACATGATTCGAACTAAACAGGTGGGGGTAACTCTTGGGCTTATTTCTAACTCATAGGTAGATCACGTGGTTCCTTGCACTGAGTTAGTTTAGTCCCTATGTGAGGAGGACTTCAATGTTTAGACAATGAGAATATAATACTGATGTTCGGGTCTAGGAAGGACAAACCAAAGACGGAACAAACCTTAGTGCCCATTGTTTACGAGTCCAGTACCTAGAGTATATGTCACTAGGTTGACAATGTTTATTATAGAATAATATTCTTGGATGTGATGAGCAAAACCACTGTCAATGAAATATCACCGGAAAATAAAACTCTAGAAACAGAACATTTTGCCACTATTAGATCACGATCCATTTATTCTACAGGCAACGAAGGACTAAATGATCTTGGAGAACGTGCTCTCTAGATGAGTGAGAGAAACATTTTGAGGTAGCCCATTCTGATAAATTTTCATGAAACATTTATCGCTGAAATCCTGTGAATGACCAGCAAGACTCTTGCTTGCGCGAAACCCAACAAGAGCCAACCAATCTACTTTAAGGTTGACTGTTTTTCTGAACACAGATATGAATATCCTCATTAAGATTTTGTTGAGAAAATTTTCGACTGATTCGTCAATGAAAAACCCCATACAATCTTTGTTACTGAAGCCTCCAAAAACGTTCTGTCCATCAATAGACGCAGTCTTTTTCGGCGCCGAAGTGCAAGTCGCTCTACTCATCCGAGCATAATGCAGCGCAGTGCCACATCAATCAGCAATTTGGAACTATGCGAGTCGACCAGCCCAGAGAGTGGTGATCCCTTATCCGAAGTTGCACGATCCACCAACCACTCCAACCTAACAGTCCCTGCTAAGTCCGAACTGCTCAATTTGTCACGCAAAACGGGTTGGCTGTCGAAAAACAAATGCGTACAAACGGGCTCCGTGGAAATCAGTAGGAAACAGTGGACAAACAGTCTCAAAAAGTTGCCCGTACTTGATGTAAATGAGAAACAAATGGCACTGAATAACGTTCCTGATTCCGGCCTTCACAACCGACGCATCGCCCGACTTTTTCAACTCAATCGATCAGCTGTTATAGAACCAAGTATGGAGAAGAACCCATCGAGCGGTATCCGTTCGACCAATAGTCCGGCAACAAACACGTCATTTGAAGAGGAAGATCGCTCGGCTACTCTTGTCCGTAGGACGTCCAGCTCCTCTTCAACCGATGTTATCAAATCCCCTCGCACTAGAAAGACCAATGGGAACAAGTCCCCGTCCCCAACGAATCAAGGAGGTGTCGTTAAGGTGAGCTCCGCCGTTACAAATTTGTCCCAGAGTATTGCTTGAAAGCAATCACTAGGAGTAATTTTGCATCTGTTCGTGGCTTTGAAAGCAAATTAATACCGGTTGACTTATTGCTCACATTGGATCTATAAGTGGGGGACACGATGGTGAATCTCATGAGGTGTCCATCCTCGTTTACAGTCCAGAATGTCGATGCGTTCGAAATGTTAGGTAGGGGGTATGTGCGGTGTCCCAAATTTCCATCAACTTCGGAATGAAGAGATCGGTGCTCAAGTCTGCCTATGTCCACCACGGCGCGTCTGACTGGTGCATACTTTACTTCGTATAAATCCTCACGATCTTTTTTGGTTTTGTGGGGTGTTTTATTTACGTCTGTGGAACCAAGGGACTTGTAGAAAAAACCTGGATTGGAATGCATTTGCATTGAAGTTTTAGGCCTTTTCAAGGCCCTTCTATCTGTAACAGTATTTGTCAACATCATGTCCCGATAACGACAAAGTAACAATTCAGAGACTTGATTTTGATTCTGGATTTCAGTGTAGAGACAGGTCAGACAGATATCACAGGTGACGTACTCCACCCTTCGTCCTGTTTCACCTAGCCCATCGCATGTAGTGCACAGCCGGCTGATCGCAGGCTGTTTGGTGCGAAGACTATTGGACGTCAAGTGAAAGTGAGCTTGCGATCCGACCGTGAAGTACGGTGGACACAGAAAGCCAAAGAAATGGAAAAGGGCCAGAAAGCCGGTAATGCCCGGAGTTTATTTCACTTGATCCGTGCAACCGGTCCCCGGAAACCACCTGTGAGCGAAACCATCAAACATCAGAATGGAACGACCA